ACCCGGAAGGCCGAGGAGGCCGCTCGCAAGTCGGCGGAAGACGAGGCAGAACGTCGACGGAAGGCCGCCGAGGGGGCGGGGGCGGAGGCCAAAGTGACTGATGAAGAAAAGAGAAAAGGGTCGTTGAAACCGAAGGTGACGTGGGACGAGCGCATTCAGGAAAGGATATTCTACGATGAACCCGAGGGAACGGAGCTCCCATTATCGGAGACGGGGCGTTTAAAGTCACCAGCGGATGTTGAAGGACGCCGTCCGCAAAGTATCGTAGATATGGATCCTCGCAAAAAGCCTTCAGACGGCACTCAGGAACAAACTTTTGAGAGTAGAGAAAGAGGCTGGACCAAGCGGACGGCTGGAACGCCTTCGGACACCCGCGAACGACTCATGTATCGCGACATGGGTCGAGGGGAGATTGATTTAGAGAATGGAAACTTACGAGAAGATCAAGACGATGGAGAGATCTCATTCGAAGAGCCATCGCCGAATTCGGGTCCTCTCGAGAGGCCGCTTGGACCGGATTTGGACGCCCGTGAACGACCGGACGTAGGAGACAACGAAGAAAGAGGCGGGAATGATGACGTACACGACGAAGAAACCAAATCGGACGACGGAGGATTTTCGATCGAGGCCCTCTTACGGCGGCTGAGAGAAACGGGCGCCAATATTGGGGAGAGGAAGATACTGCGAGAGTATGTGCGGAGAGCGCATGAGCGGGGAATCACCCGTGGCGCTGTCATAAACGGTTGGGACCAGCCGTCGGATATACGACGCACGAAGAGGAGGGCGGTAGGGTCAGATCACGTTGCGACGGGTCCCGGGTACGATAGGGGGGCGCTGTTGAGCACGGGCGACGACTTGATCAGCGCAGCGGAGGATTACATCAGAAATCAAGAAGGTCACGTGTTCGTATTCGGTAGCGAAGGCGCTCTCGACGCCCTCCGGCCGAATCCGGGTGTCATCGTGGTTCCCTCGAGTGGACGGCAACTCCCTCCTTGGGTCTGGATTCACGGCAACCTTCTGTTCATCGGGAAAACCCAGATCTCGAACGCCGTACGACAACGCCTCGAGAGCGTGACCGGGCAACAGTACCCGAAGGTCAGTGTCCTCATCAGCCGTGAGGAGGAACGCTCGCTGACTCCCGACGAGAGCGCTGACCTTCAAAAATTGATCGCGGGCGCCGGACGACGGGGAATTATGTGCGCGGACAGTATCTGTGATGGAATTCCAATATGACCTCTCTCAACTCATCAGAGTTCTCAACGGAGCCGTGCAGGACGACCCGAAGGGGCTGAGATTCGCGCAGCTGATGAACGTCTTCAGGAATCGCGACAGAACGGTCCGACTACGGAACGGGGCGGAGCGGGGCAACTGGCGTCTTTCTGAGTCTCTGAAAAAGGTCATCGACGCAGCCTCGAAGCGCCGGAAGGGACTGGAACTGGATGGCCTGATACGGCTTCGGGCATCTCTGGATCGGATGAAAAATACCGTCGTATCCCGGAA